AGTGGGAAGAAGGAGCAGGCTCAGATGTTGATTGTGTTTGTTTACGGTTCATCATAAAGGGTGTAACTCGGGAGCAGACAAGTGGAAGAAACACTCAGGGAAGGGTGTGGGGGAAGGGACTGGACCCCTGGGCTCCTGCTCCGGGCATACCACCCTCCCAGCACCTCCAGGTATTCCCCAGCCTGGACGTTCGATACATCCACTATTAAGTCATTTGTACATCTGTCCCTCTTCTGGGAAAAGTGATCCAGAGTGTCAGAGACTCAGAGAAAGCTTAGGAAGTTTTTCCTCCCTCAGCATTATTTTTCACCCAGAAGGCACGGCCATGTTTCCTCATCATCTAGAGGCACGTGCCTCCCTCCCTATTGGGGCCCTCCCTGCAGTGGCTCCGTAACTGGGACTTTTGGGAAAGGGAGGTTGGTGAGAAAGCGCTGCCTGAGCTCCTCAGTCCAGACCCCACCCTAGGGAGCAGTAGCTGTGAGCTGCCCGGGCTTGGAACAGGGCAGCCTGCTCCACCTCCCCAGGCTGGAGCCTGCCTTGTGAAGGAGTTGCTACCAGCTGCTGGGTGCTGGAGAGCTTAGAAACCCAGGGAAGGAGTGTTTAAAATACAGCTCTTATTATTATCCAGGCCTGGTGATGCCCAGAGTTCAGATGATTGTCACAGCTTGTCCCACAGTTCCCAGGAGAGGGGCTGCTCCTGCCGTGCAGGGCCACCTGGGGAAGCACCATGGTGGTCAGGAGGCAGAGGAGTGAGGGCAAAATGTGGGCAAGAACCTTCACTGTGGCTTCTGAGGACAGGAGCAGGGAGGTTTAGTGTTGCTGGCTCTGGTGCGTGATAGATACCCAGCTGTGTGCTACCTGACCCTGGGGTGATGAGGGCAGGGAACAGTGGTCCAGAGTGTCAGAGCCTCGTAGAAGAGGTGGCCATGAGGTGGGGTCAGGTGTGGGACCCTGACTGCTGCTCGTAGGCAAGCATCTTCTTAAATTGGCTAGTCCTGGGAGGAGCATCCTTCCCAGGGTCTGTAAAGGACCGAATGTCAAAACATCAGCACAAATAGACACACTTAAGGAGAAAATCCAGGAGACTGGGATCTACAAACTGTGATCCTCTGAACTCTTTGGCATCCCCCCATAAATTCATAAACAGTCAGACTACCCGGCCCGTCCAGGGGTCTGAGCCGTGCTCTCTTCCACCCTCTTCCTGTTGCCCAGTCTCTGCTCTGTCCTGGGATGAGATCAAGTGAGTGGAATGCAGACAAGGGAGTCCCCTGGGCCACCCCCCTGACAGCCTGTGTTTGAACCCTTCCAGCCAAGACGGACACGGCGTTCAAGGCGTTCCTGGACATCCAGAACCCCCGGCAGCAGCACTCGTCCACGCTCGAGTCGTACCTCATCAAGCCCATCCAGAGGATCCTCAAGTACCCGCTGCTGCTCAAGGAGCTGTTTGCCCTGACAGACGCCGACAGCGAGGAGCACTACCACCTGGACGGTGAGCGCACTGCAGGCCTCCCCGCTGGGCCCCCAGGGCCACTCTGAGCAGCCCTTCATGTCATGACCTGTGTTCTTGCAGTGGCCATCAAGACAATGAACAAGGTCGCCAGTCATATCAACGAAATGCAGAAGATCCACGAGGAATTCGGGGCCGTGTTTGACCAGCTGATTGCCGAGCAGACTGGTGAGAAGAAAGAGGTGAGGAGCCCGTCCGTGGAGCCGGGCTCAGGTCCGCTGCTCTTCTTTTAATGAGCTGTGAGCTGTAAGTACAAGGTGGACACTGTTGTTTATGTTGGTGGAACTCTTGCCCCGTGTCCAAGGCTGCATCGTGAGATGTTTTTCCTCCACTGGACTCTTAATGTAAGAAACCTGTTCTTATTGCTTGCCCCTTCCCCTTTGGGAGCTCTGGTTTTATTCTGTGCTAAGCGTGCAAATGAACTTTCATGACCCAAATCTGAGCTGTTTTAAGTACCATTAAAGGCCGAGGCGCTGTCCTCAGAGATCAGAATAACATCTGGCTCGTAGTCAGTGCTAGACAAACGTCTGTCGAATGAAGGCAAGTTTTCAATGATTCTAAATCTTTTTTGTTGGGGGAAAGGCCAAGACAGGAACAGATTCACCTGAGAAAAACTTAGCATAAACTGAAAGCTGTCCCCAAGTCATTGAAAGGGACTCACATGGGGGGAAAATGCAGATAATATGGAGATGAATCATAGGGATAGGATACGTAATGACACCCATCGTCTCTAATGGAGCAGTCTCTGTTCCAGATTCAAGGGGAGCAGTGAATTCAGGTTTGCTTTCCTCCTTAAAAATAAAAATGAAAAGGAGAAGAAAAGCTAGGAGAAACACCCTGCTGTGATTAGGAGATTGTTTATACTGGAGAAGATACCTTCCCTTCAGAGACACAAAAGGTCGTTATCTAAGTTGATTTTTATGTCCTCAGGGAAACAGAACAAGTTTTCAGATTGTTTAAAGATAACATTGACAAAGAGGCAAAATTGTGATATCTCAAAGAAATGAAAACAGTAAACACACTAAAATATTTAATTTACTCACCAGATGTGAGCGACCTGGGCAGGTGCTCTGAAAGCTCGCTGGCAAAGTCAGAGATCACCAGTTTATGTCTGGAGAAGGGATTTGTGTCTGCAGTGAATTGTAGATGGAAGTAAGCTCTGCTTTCCACGGCTGGAGGGAACCAGGCCAGCACCAGACTGGACAGATTTACATGTCTATACCCCGTGCCTTGTAAGAGTTGCAAAGGCACCACACGGGTTAGAATTGGAGAGCCCAGGGAGAGCTGCAGACATTCAGTTTTCAAGTAAATACAGTTTTTTCCCTCCATTTCCCTCCATGAGCAGAACATGAGAAATGTCCTCAACCTATCCCGCAGATAACTTAATCCATCAGAGATAGAAAAAAATGGATATGGCTACTCTGGAATTAGTTTCCACTGATTAAAGAAAAGGATAAAACATAGGAAAAGGCAAGAAACCTCTCTATATTCTGAAAACACGGAATTTACCACTTTCAATGTTTAGGTGTTTGATTTATATATATATATATACACACACACATACATATATGATTTAATATATATTGATTTAAATATATGTATACATATGTACACATACTTATTTTGAAAGTAATTTTAATACCTTTTATATATTGGGTACGGAATTTTCATGTTAATTTTTGTGTGATTGAGCAATATACTTAATTCCTCCTGGTAGGCAATTTTCTTGGCTTCTTCTGTTGACTTGTATGAATAATATTACAGACATTTTTGATCATAAGATTCCTCCCTCTCCCTATATTTCAAGATTTTTTTCGTGTGTGTGTATTTGTTGTTTTTTATTCTGACAGAAGCACATTTTACTGTGTCACAGAAATGAACGTTTTCAGTATACTTTGTTATATTTTCATTATGTGCTAAATTAATGGGTTTCAGTGACCTTTGAGGCAAATGACTGCATTGCTAAGAAGTAGCTGATAGGGATAGTGGTGGTTTGCAAAGAATATAAGGAAACAAAGATGAATACACTCAGAAGTCAGAGACGGTGAAAGGGAATATGGCTCAGTTCATGTGAAACCGGAGGACCTTTGAAATGAAACTCTGACAATCAAGTAAGAAATCTGTCCAGCACAGAACAAAGAGACACAGTGCTATACAAAGCATTTCCTATGGAACTGAGATTATAAATAGAAATGAGCCAAAGATGGAAGGAGGGACCTTGACTAGATGCCAGTATTAAAGAGCAGAAAAAATTGCATATTGGTATCCGAAGGTCCAAAGCCCAGGAAAAAAGTAAAGCTTGGAAAAGATATCAAAAGAGAGCAACAAAAGACTGTTTTAGCAACATGAAACGAACAAGCAGGCAAGAGGCCCACAGTGTGAACTGATTACCCAAAGGCTACTGATTACCGGACGGGTACAACCAAAGTCCCCTTTTGTTTCTTTTTTCTCCATTGAGGAAAATGGTCTTCAAACTGGAAAGGATACAATGACCTTGACTTCATAGGAATAAAACCTGGGAGAAATAATCCTGGGGCTTAGTGTGGTCTGCCCAGATCATTGACAAGTCCACACCGCCACTTGCAGCAGTGTATGGAGCACCTGTGGAGACTTAGGCAGGCGGTTGTGGAGGTACACAGGTTATGTTCTGAGTCTCACAAAGGTGGTTTCTGATCCTTGCAGTTCCCTTTTAACAGCAGCATCCGGTAAAAACATAGAATGGGTTCATGAACAGTTCAAGAGCAGTTAGGGGTTGGGACACGTCAATATTTGCTGGTAACTGCAGGCTTAGATTGAAATGGTGGCATTCCACAGGGACCTGAATTCTGACTTCAGCTCTCCTTCGGATATCTCTGAAGGCAAATGTGTTCACAGAAAGCAGCCATTGAGGAAATATTTTGTGCTAAAGCCAGATCTTGAATCTTCTACCCCTATGATACCGTCTGGGGAGTCGGGCTGGACCCCTTGGGCCATCCCTGGGTAGGAGGAGGAAGAAGCCAAGTGGGCATTTTCCCTTAGCCGGCCTCAAGCAGCCTGCCTCAGCAGGTCATGCCAGTCCTTGTAAGGCAAGGGCCTTCCTTCCAGCAGAACCCACTCTTGGGGCTTTGGAGGAAGATTTTGAAGGGACCAGTGAATGCCCAAGGAGGAGGCTGTTGGCCAGACCCAGTGTCCCTGACGCTGACTGTCCTAAGAGTTGCCACGTAGAAACTTGTCAAGAGAAAAGCCAGGTGCCCAGGGGCTCTACTGCCCATTTTTTCCTGTGTAACAAGCAACCAAAATTTCAGTGGTTCACTGCAACAAATAAATGTCTCACGTGAGAGTCTGGGTCAGCTGAGTTTCTCCTGGTGCATGCTAAGGTGTGCTCAGGTGTGCTGCTGCTTCCTTCCAGGATCCAGGTGGAAGCAGCCATAGCTGTCTTGGGCAGGTCCATTCCATGGCTAGAAAGTAGATGCTCACAAGGATTGGTGGGAACTTTTTTGTGCCAAGTCCACTGCCTGCCCCAAATCACATGGCCATGCCCAAACTCCTGTGGGTTGGGATGTACACTCCCCTCTGCCTAGTCTGGTGGGAGGTGTTAGAGAATCATATGGCCAAGGATGCTAATGTAATATGATTCTGTTGAAGGAAGTAGAGTTAGGAACATCTACCACAATGACTTTAATTGCTTTTGAAGGCTGTGGCTCAGGTAGTGCCAAAAATTTGATTTATGTATGTATGTATGTTCCTCCACGTGGGGCTGGGGAATTCAGAATGGTTAGCAGAGACTATATAGTTCCGTTAGCTAATAATATCCTGTGATTTTTTTTTTACTTGTTACTTCATATCTATAAATGAAGTAATATGATCACTTAACATTTTTTAACTTTTGATGTGCCAATATTCATATGACTCAGCAATAATTACAGTAATTATTATAATCCCCATCAGGGGAGGCAGTGATATCCCTGTATTCTCTACCAGTGGAGAGAATACATCTACATCTTCAGCACTGTAGCAGGTTTGGTGGCTTGAGAAGGGAATGCAAACCACATTGGTGGAGGGATTCCAGGTAGCTGCTGTGTGTGCAGTGAGATCATAAACAGCAACACAAACGAGAGCCATTTGTCCCAAGGAGTTCAGCTCCAAGGCTCAAATGTTTGAAATGTTGCCTTGGTGAAGAGGGCATTTTAGCTTGATTTTTATGAACTCAGAGAGTAGAAGTGAGAAGCTAGTGGGAAGGCGTATTAGAAAAAGAACTTCCAGACAATTGGTGGTATTTACAAACAGGATGAACTGTGTACTGTGATTGTGATGAAGTCTTATCTGCTGGTGTATCTGTGATGATGTTGCCGAGAGTAACCCCACCGTGGGGAGGGGGTTGGGATTTTGTAAATGGACCAATGACTCCAGTGGGAAAGCTGGGTACATCACAGTAGTCCCCTCTTCCCCACAGAGGATATGCTCCCAAACCCCCAGATACACTGTTTTTTCCTCTCTTTCTATATATATATATTTTTTGAGAACTCACCTTTATAGTTAAAGAAAACACTTTATAGCTTTTCTTTGGCATATCCAAATTGTCAGTATCACTACTTTTGTGCTTTGTGGCCATTATTAAGCAAAAATAAGTGTTTTTTGAACAAAATCCCTGTAATATCATAACAGTTGATCTTAAAAATAAGGTAGCTACCAAGTGACTAAAAGGTGGGTAGTGCATACAGTGTGGATACACTGGATAATTCATGTCTCAAAAAGGAAAGAGAAGAATAGTATAGGATTTCATCACACTACTCAGAACAACACACAATTTAAAATTTACAAATTATTTATTACTGGAATTTTCCACATAATACTTTTAGATCTTGGTTCACCATGAGGAACTGATACTATTGAAAGTGAAACTAAGAAAAGGAGGGACTACTGTATTGTGAAGTGTAAACACTGGCTACCATTGGGCTCTGTGGGTCAATATGTCTAGATGATTCTACAAACAGAAGCACTTGTCTGTCTAAAGGAAGAAAAAACAACAACAAAATTGTATAAATGCATTCTGTATGTTTCTTTAGTAATCAGAGGATTTTTTTATATTTCAAACATGGAAGAATATAACAATACTAAAACTTGGCATTAGAAGAGTAAACTAGATACTGTAATATCCACAGCCCATTGCTTCAAGTACAGATATGTTTATTGAGACAATAACAACTTGTGAGTATTTTTTAAATGCGATCTGTCATTTTTATATGCTAATTCACTTTTTAAAATAACTTCATTTAAATTTATAAGTAAAAATTGTCCTGGATATTATTCAACTGACAGAGGGTTATGTCCTGAACAACACATCTTAGGTCGAAACCATCCATGATACATCTGATGAACTCACCAGTAAGCTCATTGTAAAGTTGAAAAAACCCATGCTTAACTTAAACTATGATAAGGAGGGGACCATCTGTGTGTGTGTGTGTGCATGTGTGTATACACATATGTATGCATACTTGTTGTTTTGCTGTATAGAAACACTGTGGAATGGCCACATCAAGCTATTGACCTTATGGATTACCTCACATACTTACAGAAATGTTTTTAGGAAAATGTTCTCATGAAGTAAAATTGACACCAGCCTCCCGTATTTTAAAGCTTCATGAAAATCTGAGCATTGATCACACCACCCTGTCTCTGATTTGCAGGTTGCAGATCTGAGCATGGGGGACCTTCTCTTGCACACCACTGTCATCTGGCTAAACCCACCGGCATCTCTGGGGAAGTGGAAAAAGGAGCCAGAATTGGCAGCTTTTGGTATGTATCAGAAGAGGTTTTGGGGGAGAGGAAAAGGCTAGCTTATTTTTCAAAGCAGCGCTCTTTCTTTTCTAAGACATGATTGATTAAAATAAAGCTAATTTCAGTTTAAAATTGGTCTTCCTGCTCCAGCTGCCCGTCTTTCACAAATACTAAATTAAACCTTCCAGTTAAATATGTACAGTGTAGTGGCCGCTCAGCTGCGGGGGCTGGTGATCATGGCAGGCAATGTCCAAGTCTGTCTCAGATGTAAACACACAAACAGGAAAAGGATTTTATTTTTTTCTGTTTGCTGCTGGTCCAAGTATCTTTTCAAGATAATGGTGTGTGAGGGTGCTTCTCAGCTGGGTATTACTGCAGCTTGATCGGTGGTGAGGTTCTGCACAGTGACATTGTCACTAATGCAAACAGACCTGTTTGTGAATGATTTATTTTTAACAAGCTATATTTTTAATGAACTAGTTCAGATGAATGCATGTGGTACAATTAGAGATCTCATGTGATTGTACTGTGTTAATATGCTTTTTGAGAGAGAGGAAAAAATTATGGGATGGTGCACTCGGAATTATGCATGATTCTGGAAATACAGCCTGTGTTTTACAGTGTAGGTGTGAGTGTGGCCTGTTGCAGGGTTGTTCTTGAGCACAAAACCATCCACAGCTCATGCTTTTGTCTTACATTGTATTTTTTCCCAGCTTCCCTCTAGAAGATTCAAGGGTAGGAAATTAGCATCTACCATTCTCTTAAACTATTTTTCTGGGCTGAGGGGAGGAGACATTGCTTACTGATATTGCTCTTTGTTTCTGTTTTTTTTTTTTTTTGTATGTGTGTGTGTGTGTGT